TTGACGGGTGTAGGCGATGATGACCGTGACAACCGCGCCTCCAAATCGGTATCCCCCTCCTCGTCCTCCACCTCCGCCTCCTGCTTGACCGACACCGACTCACCCCCGAAGTCATCACCCCGCCCGAGCGACACACTCCGCACGACGCGCGCCTTGATCAGGGAGGAGTCTCGTCCATCTCCACTTCCATCCCATGTACCTCCTCGCCCGATTCACATTTCACCACCACCTGCTGCGAAAGGCACGTCCGTGTCTTCTCCTGATCGCCAGCGCCGTCGATCTCCCCCACGCCGCCGCCGTCATCAACGTCGTCTGTCGACGCCCGGGAATGTGAGGACCACGCAAGCACAGGTAGCTTATCCCTATCTTCGTTCCGCACTCGTTCGTAATAGAGCATAAATGCGCCAGATCCCTCCTGCAACACAGCATCAATGCCGACCTCGCGTACGACGTTGTCGCTCGCGCGCAACCAGCCCCTCCCCGGCACCGCAGAAAATCCTCATCCAGCCGTGGGGACCCGATGCGCCCCGCCCCGCGCGGTTTGCGTCGAAAGCAGACGTAGTGCCCGAAGGAGTGCTGGCCGTAGTGGCACACGACCGCTGCAAGGCGGTACAGCACGCGCGGTGGTTGCGGTGCAAGGTTGTGACCGTACACCTTGTTCATTTGAGAACCGGTGGCGGCCGCGACGGCTGCGGTGGGGAGGGCAGGTGCAAGTGGGAGGAGATGGGGAACGAGGGTGAGGTAGAGAGCATGCCGGAGGTCGTGAATGGCGTCAGGTCGAGCGTCTCCGGGAAGTGTACGCGCGCAGTATTTTTGGACGCGTACGTGCCGAAGTGCACTGAGCGATTGAGGTGCAGCGCGAGTACAGGCGGAGGCTGAGCATGGATCGGATTAGGCAGGCTCTCGATGAAGAACAAGACAATGTTTACTGACCCGCGCGACCATGGCCTGCTTCGTTGAAGCTCGGGAGAACACCTTTTCTATTTTGATCCCCTTAATATCTTCCTCTATTCTGCCCTCTTCAAGGGCAGTTTTGAGGCGAAGTGCGAATCGCTTGACCTCGCGCAGGCGCTTCTTTTTCGACTGTGATACAGACGACTTGGCCGTTTCAGCTGTGAGCCGTTCTGCGTCCTGTTCCAGTCGGCGAAGAGTCACGCGCATTGAGCACTTGCGGCAGATGCAATCAGTCAAGGTTTCCAAACGTGTGTACTCCATAAGGCAGTCCTCGAGTCTACAGTTCGCCTGGGACGCTGCTGCTCAACCTAGAAGAAAAGCGGGAGGCAGGGGAAACGGACGTACGACACGGGGAACGGTGAGCTGCCAGTTATCAAACGGGAAGTGCATGACCGCCTCGGTGTAGCCGCACTCACAGCAACTACGACGGTTCGCAGTGAGGCCGTCGAACACGCCCTTGGATACGTCGACGCTCGCCGCGGATGAAGATGACGAAAGACACGCAAAGCCGAGGTCGCGCGAGCCCTCACGATCAACAGCGGTCGCCTCTTTCTTGACATATTCCGAGACGAGCTGGAAGAGCTCTTGCGCGTCCTGGTGCTCACGTGACGCGAAGAGCGGTATACGTCGGCCGGGCTCGGGTTGCGAGAGCGCCGCGATCATCTCGACGGGGCGGATGGAACGGGAGTAAGAGGAAGGGGTGTTCAAGCCTGATGGGACGAGGGGGTTAGGAAAGTAGCCAAAGAAGGCGAGCGCATATCTCACCGTGCAGAGGTCGCGTAGAGCGTCGACGACTGGCGTGGGTATGTCGACCGCCTCGGCTTTGGCGTGGATGGCGTCTATGTGTGGTTGTAGGTAAGAGAGAGAGGCGAGTGCCTATGAGCATGCGGAGTAGTATGATTAAGTTGCCGACTGGAACGGATGAGTGGAGGGCAGCGCACCTGCATAGTGGAGTTCATGAAGCAATATGTTCCCGAAATATTAACAAGGCCTGGGTAGAATAGACCCTTCTCGTTTTCTGATGCGTCATTGGTGACTTGGAAAGGGATGTTCAAAGTCTGCCTGGGCGCAACATACAATGTTTGACGGTGACGCACCAGGGCGGCCATCGGTCCTTGCGGCCAACTGTTCGCGCGAGTACGGACGGGGTGTTTCTTCTTGGGCTTGGAGACGACAGATCCATGTTCATAGAACGATGTCCAGTTCCAGGGGAGCGCCGCACTGGCGACGGTAATCATGTGGAAGGCGAATCGCTGAAGAAGTCTTGACCGTAGAAGACAAGAAGGGGGATGACGATGATGATGACGAGAGGAGCTAGTTGGTCAAGAACGGAATCGGTCGGGGAGGACGTTGTCGTCGTCGACATTTACCTTGCTCGCATTGAACAACCCATTCGGACTGATCGATTCGTCGCAGCCCACTTCCAGGCCCGCTTAACGCTTCTCACCAAACGTGGCACAACGGTAAATACTCTCACCCTATCGCCGCACGTTCGATCCCTCCAAGGTCATTATAACAAATATTTTTGGATTACTCGTCTAGTGACTCGAACATGTCCTCCCCCGATGGAACTCACACGGTTCATCCCCCATGGCCATCCCCTCGCCTGCCATCACTGGTATCACGCTCGTACTCCCCTCTTCCGTCCGGATTCGCACTCGAAACTCTTCCGTTACCGGGTCCACAGAATGCCATTCTCCGCAGACACCCTCTCCGAATGGGTGCGGGAAGAACGCATCGTCACCTTTCTCTTCCCCGCTGTCGTGCAGAAACGGATGGTATAGTGCCTGCCGTGGCGTGAAACGCTTAATCGACTCTGGGTGCAACAATCGTTCGAGCAGATCGAGCGCTTGTTCTATGTCCGTTTCGTGATCTTGAACGTCTCCGAGTCCGGACGGCCAGTGCGTCTCGCCTGAGACCGCATCTGGATCTGGTGACGACGATGAAGGAGGTGGGGGGTAAGAACTCCCTCCAGATGATGCCTCCCTCGTGTTGTAGGGGTTCGGGCACATGTCACCCTTCGTCGGCTCCCGCAGTTTCGGATTCAGCGTCTCTACGAATTCGCGCCAGGGCTTTCCTTCTGGTGTAATCGATGGAATATTTGTGGTGAATGTCCGGGCTGTAGGATCCAATTAATATTACTGCGCCTATACGCTTCTGCAAGCGCTCACAATGTAGCGTTGCCACTTTCTCCATCCGTCGGCGCCCAATGATGCACGCTATCTCCAAGAGCGCTTCGACGTCGTCGTTGGACTGGAAAAGGGGGAACTTTCCGACCAAGAAGAAGAGGAGTATCATGCCCGCGGACCACATATCGATAGCTGTCAGAGCACACATAGTCAGAAAATATGCACCCCCAATTATAGACGCGTTACAACAGACCCCCTGATTGCTCATTACACTTCAGGAGGACCTCTGGCGCGCGAAAACCTCGCGTGCCTGCTCGATTAGCTCTCGAATGAGGTCTGTGAAATTCAGTAAGACCAGGATGCAGGCGCGGCATGGTGTACATACCTTGTATCCTTTTCTAGGTAACCCACTCTATCAGAAGCCCATCCGCTGCGCATTCGCGCGTCCTTCTGCTTCTTCCTAACAAATTCCGAGTTGTATTCAGTTGTACGCCGTAGCCGGCCATGTGGGTTTTCCCTTGTTGGCGCGGTGTGCAGACATTTGCCATAATGTACAGGGGGGTCTACGCCCATGCGCTAAATAAAAACAAGCATTCGTTTCAGTTCTCAAATTTTCACGGAAAGGTACATACTCACGCAGGCCAGGCCGAGGTCGACCAGCATTCCTACTCCTTTGTGAGGGTCGAAAAGAAAATTGGCAGGCTTGATGTCACGGTGGATGATGCCCCGCGCATGAATGTCCCGCAACGCACGAAACATGCATCTGAAGTATGCCCGGATCCCGACATCGGAAGTGTGCGGTAAAATGACTGTGAAGGTTTGGTCAACGTTGAAAAAGACAAGGCAGGCTCTGATACGCGTGAACGCACACGAAAGTCCTCGTGCGGATGGTAAGGCATGATTGCGACGACCTGGTCCTCATGTCGAAAGGCAGTGATAAGCTGTGACACGTGTCGCGCACCCCGACACGTTTCCAAAATGGAGATTTCGTTTCGTATCCGCTCCGGGTTGCTCGTCACGTATATGCGCTTGATTGCGACAAAAACTTTTGTGCAGGGCGGCCGCGGCACTGATTGGTAGTGCGCTGACGATCCGGCAGGGTGTAGCCCGTGCCACACCGTGTTGTCCCACTTTTCGTGATACCCGAGGTCGATGGCTTTGTACACCGACGAAAATGTGCCCATACCAAGGCGGTCAATGAGCTTGTAGTCCTGCGTGATGGCAGGGACCGCCTCCTCAAGGTCCGCAATTTCGAGCCTGATCTCCTCCTGCTCCTCCCGCGACTTGAGATACAAAGTCATTTCCTCGTCGATATCGGCAGCTGCGTCGTCCATGCCACTGTCTCCGTCATATTCATCGCTATTTTCGCCATCGCAGTCTTGCTCCTTGTCATCGACCATGTCTTCATCCAGGTCAATGAGTAATTCTGGATCCGCGTTCCTTCGTGTGGTGTACTGAGCTTGTGCGGCTGGCCGATCCTGGAGAAGCCCTGCGATGTGTCGTTGATAATTTTTGAGGTCAGAAACCTCGAGCTCATCTTCTGGCTCGTCCGAGTCGCGTTGGTTTCCGGACATCGCTCGAGCTTTGCGATATGTTTGCAGTGCTACCTTGTTTCGCACATCTGAGGAAGGAAGTTCGAGGGGGTTGGATGAGTGTTGAGACATTTCTTTAAGCAGGTCCATGACGTTTGACACCAAATTACGATAGGAGATATATATGGTGAACTGAGCGTTGCTTGTGGCATTGCAGTTGTGAGTAACTGAGACGCGACCTGCGACACGCCATCACGTGCGGAACAACACCGCAAGTAGACTCACAATTTACTGTATGATCACCCGTATCAGTAGAATAAGTTTGTAAGATGTTCTATACGCGTCCAAAAGTAAATAAGTATTTCATTAAAGCTAACCAAAAAAATGACCACCGCAGGACTCGAACCTGCAACCTTTTGGTGCCGTTGGCGATCGAAGCCAAACGCGCTACCATTGCGCCAGGTAGCCTTATTAGAGTACCTTACTGTCGTGTAGACGACCCTTCTGATTGCGATCGATAGCCATGGTCCGAAACCCGCAGACTATATCTATCCTTCCACGATCACGATCAACCCCGTTCCACTTCAGCGATGGCTCTCAACTGGACGATGCTCAAACCTGACCGTACCCCAGTGCCTCTACCCGGAGAGCTCACTATTATGACAGTAGAATCTGGGGCAGACGTTTCCCTTACCGTTCCAGATGAACCTCCCACCGGTTCTTCGTCTTCCGGTGGGTCTGGTGGTGGGCGTAAACTGAATGGAACAGGAAAACTGGTTTTGACGGATCAACGTGTGCGTTTTTTCCGATGCTGTGGCTGATTTTGAAGAACTCATCATGATGCGGAACACGAATTCCTAGTTAATTTTCGTTCGGGGAGCGACGGTAGCAGTACAGGATTCAACACACTCAATCTGCCACTTCAATCCATATTATCAACAAAGTTTGAACAGCCATACCTGGGTTCCAACTACTATCTATCGATATTCGGCCCTCTCCTGATGGCGGGCTCACTTCTGGCACTAAATCGGAGATCCGCTTGAAGAACGAGGGCATCTTTCAATTCGTCAGCTTGTTAGAGAAGACGCGAGAACGTGCTGTGTACATGAGAAGGCAGATGAAAGATGAGGAGGATGCTCTCCGTACGATGTCACCTTTCCCCTGTTATTGCATTCTAATCTTGTGGTCAGCTGCATATGTATCGCCTTCACAGGGCCCATCACGTGGAGGAGGCACGCCCGTAGATGCACCGCCGGGTTATGAGGCATGAAGAAATTTTATGATGGGAGTAAGGCTGGGCACTCGTCCGTTTTGGTGAGCCCCGGCTAGTCACTGTAACGTTACAGTGCCGAGGTTGTTGTCGCGTATTATTTTATTCGATCACCAAGGGTCGAGGGTCGAGCACCCTCAATGTATGTACTGTACTATGAACAACTGGACATCTTACGGGACCTTGGCTTCTCATACTGTTTCTCGCGTTGTAACACATGTTTCCAAGTATTGGTCGTGTGCCAATAGCGAAGCCTTGTGACCACAAGTGCATACGCCATCACCCGGACACGATCACAGTAAAGAGTGTTGGTTACAATTATTACGGGAAATCCATCACGATTACGTAATCAATGTTTGGGACCCTTGCTCAGACCCGGACATAGCATCTTGCCATCTTCCATCATTTTCCTGAACTTGCTGCTATTGTCCGGTCACACATGGCATCACGTGCAAACACGTTCAACGGTGGATATGGTTTCAGCACTCGCATCCGCGAACCTTTTGCCTTCGAACCACATGCTATGCAGGTTCGAAACACCATCCAAGCGACATTCTATCTGGAAGTCCCTGAACAGGGCCAACTCCGGCAACCTCTCGGATTCGGGTCATGACATGCATGACACTCAGAGCGCTCCGGTCCCCCCGGGAGATTGAGCAAGAAGTCGGATCCTTGAATCGGCGTCCTATGGCCTTAGATCATGAGTTTTGGGCACAACATTCTACCCGGCACCTTCCTTGCATGGCGGAGACCCCGGTGCCATATTACTGCATCGCATCGCCCGTGCAACAAGATCCAGCCAGAAGACTCCAGCCTCTGGGAATGCCAACCAGCAAATCTTAGAGTGTTAAACTCTCAGGGCACAGGCACCACTATGAGTTGGTGTACTTGGATTCCACCTGGGCACGGTTGGTTACGGGGGAGCTTTTTGTATTTAACGGTGTGTGGTGGCTGCACAACTAACCATCTGCATATTCGGTTTTCACCCAACGGTACAAACCCGCACTCTCTTATTCACATTGCCGCTACATCTTCACATTTGCCATGGGTAAGCTACGCTTTCATCGTGCAGTGTCCCATACATTGAGAATGCAATTCAGACCCTGTCCGCGACCTCAACAACTTCCTTCAGGGCAACAAAACCCGTGGAAACTTGACGCCCTACCTGTCATGGCAAGAGGACGACGAGGGTCCTGATCATCAAAAAGTCCACCATGTTACCGCTAAGTGTGAGCCTTTCGGCAATTTTGACAACTGAGTGCTGAGTTGTGCAGTTCGTAAGCGGAGTATTGGCTACGGACGAGCTTCTGACAAAGCTACCGCCAAGCAAATTGCTGCCAAAGAGGCCCTGAAGCATCTGAAAACCCTCCCTGAAATACAACTTTTTTCATCTTCGTAATCATGGCCCTACTTCAAATTCAGGGGACGCCCAGTGTTTAATAAGGCGATGGTGTTTATAAAATAGATCGACCCATTGTGCATAGACACCTACATTAATACACCATCTGGATCATTTCGTTTCTTGTTCCAAGGCTCGGTTTCAGTTGGCGTGCAGAAGGTGGAAATCCATAGATTGGACGTGCAACATGTGAGAATCAGGCTCGTGATCGATTTACACTGTTCCGAACTTCCGAAGGGACGGCGTCGGTAGTAACTTGGTAGAATACCCTAACGAAAGGATGCCAGAGTCCGCACGTTCACAGCCAGCATGAAAAACAATCTGTGATGGGAGTGAGGCAGCACGCTTCTGTGAGCTTTGTATGATTACTGGGGTACAGTAGTCATTGCAATGACACAGTGCCTAGTTGTTGTCTTATTCGAGCATCCTCCATATTCTATGCACTACGGACATCTCAGTCCTTAGCTTTTAATAGCGTTCGGAGTATTGGCCGTGTGTCAATACTCAATGGCGAAGCCTGGTGACCTTGCTGGTGACCTCAAGTACCTAGGTGTACGCGTCAGCGTCGCTATCAGCCTATCACTCAGACACCGCAATACTCACAGTGTTGGTTATATCAGATTAACCACCGTTGTCACTTGTCATGTTGACGTAACCGATATTTAGTGCCCTGTTTTCCTTGCAGCAAGAAACACCGGACGTCGATTGCGTGCAACTGGCCTTCCCGTTCAGACGAGTCGTGTCGAAGCCGGTACATTCCGGCGCGCCACTCACCCGGACATTCACAAACGCACTATCACCGCCTACACCACTCCTACACCACACGTGGCCTGATTCCGCATTCCTCTATCGATGCGACCGCGACCTCCTTCGGCCCTAGGATGATCTCATCCGGCCTCCTTGTTTCTTTCGTTCCGTTCCGTCCTTTTTTTCTGGTTTGGCTTAGGGGCCAAGTCGTAGTGTGTACTACAGACTCTTACTGGACTGGTACTGTCCGGGTCTACATGGACCCACATGTGTCAAGGAGGAAGGGCATCTTCAGTGACGATGAAATCACTGAATCAGTGATTTGCGTGACTCTTTGCCCTAAGTCTTACCCTGGTGCGCGCCTCCGGACCTTAAGAGTTACGCACGGACGTCTCGCAAGCCGTCGTGATCCACGGAACGCCCATCTCCCTGTCCAAGACGCGCAGGTCGTCGGAATTAAAACGGTGCTGTACTCTGGGACCTTCTTTCTCTCTGTATTCGGATTGGCTGGCGCTGAGTTAAAGTGCGCTTGAGCGCTAACTCATTGAAAATCGCCGCATTGGTTTGGGACGTTTCTTACTTGGATTTCGTCGCGCTCGCTATGCTTCAGTCGCAGTTTTGAGAATCAAGCCTGTGAGACGCCTTGGATGTAGGATTACTGGGGTGTAGGGGCGCCAGGTCTTATTCCGGTGTTTAACATGAGACGGAGACCAGCCCATGGTACTAGTATTTAAGACTCGATGAGACATTCACTTGCCAGCATCGAAACTCACAAGTCAACATCGAAACCTACAACAGTTCTCCACTCACAATGGCCGGTGCACTATTGTCGTTTCAATACTCCTCTTTTCTGCCTCTGACAACATCCAGGTGATGATCCTGTTCGCGATCTCAACAACTACTTGCAAGGGCAGCCAGGGAATTTGACCCGACTTTTGAATTTTGCAACTCAGCAAACGGGGCCAAATAACCAGGCCAAACACACTGGGACTTATACCTGTTAGCGAGTTCCACACTATCTTGCACACTTACCATGCTCACGCGACTGCTTTAGTTCGAGGTACTGTCGTCGGCACGGGGGAGGGAACCAGTAAAGCTACTGCCAGGCGCGACGCCGCCATTCAAGCCCTGCAGTATTTCCATGCGCACGGGATAATTGGGATTCCCCAGTAAACTCAAGTTCTTGTCTGTCGATGTCCCGAGAAATCGCTGTATTGTTTACAGTGTCTCCGGTTCTCTCCGAATTGATCAACATGTCGGTTTTCGGTTTATGTAACACGCATGTCTTTAAATCAACTCTTTGTGGCGCCCATGAAGCAATTTGCAAACTTTGCCACAAGGCCTCTACATTGCAGCCACCTTGCAACATTCCGGTATTCTTGCATGAGTTCCACTAGGATTGTGAAGGAACGTTCTGTGGACGCTGAGATCAATCAGTACGGCATAGAATTGGACCGGATCGTGGTTGTACGGCCTATATTTTCGTGTTTCTCTACAGTTGCCTTGTCTTTCTCCCAGCTTGTTTCGGCTCCAACAAGGCTGTAATTACCATCAAGTGCTTTATGAACAAATGGAGAAAGGGAGACGCACTGAAGATAGAGCAGTGCTGCAAGAATAGGATACAATTGAAGAGAGGGGCAGCAAAGGGTCAGTACCGGTCAGTACCCAATTCATGGAGATCCAGGCCACTATAATGCAGACTTATGGCTCTGCTTCGTTCACGCTGTGTTGAGGCTGTGGGAGTCGGGTGCCCTTGCAAGTCGGGCAACGAGGTTAGGGGAATTTAAACCTCGCCCTGGTGTAGTACCAGTACAGGTACACCTCTTATGATCACCAGTTATCGTCACGGTCATCTTTCAAGTTGCCATCATCTGAATCGTGCATCCATATTATCACCCCCGCGAGAGTAGAGGAGCAATTTCTCTCGCCGTGACGACAGTGAAAAGTCTGAATGGTTTCTCTAGAATAGAAGTATGAAGCATACGCATGGCGACAGTTGACAGGCTGAGTGTCCGCAGCACGAGTGTGCCAATCAACATGGTTGCTTGCATG